CGCTTGGTTTTCCCTTCGCTTTTCCCTTTTTCGACTTTTTCCCTTGCCTCAACTCTGGGTGCTGCTTAAAACAATTCTTGTTTCTGTGTTGATGGGTACACAGCACGCAGTAGTCATTTGGGCCCCCAACAGCTTTCTTCTTCCCTCCATCGTTCCTCTCGCCCTCACCAGTCATCACCATCACCTGCCCCGACGACTTCCCTTTCGACTGTCCAACTTGGCGAAGCGTTGACATCATCGACTCGAGCGGCACATACCTGTTCTTTCCGTCTAGGATCTTGGTCTGCCTCCAAGTATCCAGCCAATCAACACTCTCTGTTCCCAAAACGAAAAGAAAACTTGCTAGCCCATGGCGTACAGTGTATGGATTGTCCGAGTCAGAAATAGATTGCTGGTGATGCATTGACTCAGCGGCACTGTTAACGCTCAAGTAGTGCTGCATAAACTTATCGCAGTATTCTTCGATTGTTGTGAACTTTGTGTTGATTAGATTTCTGACGGCACTCTCATACGGTGTGGCCGCACTTTCCTCTCGAGTCGTCGCTATTGTGTCGAATATTTGCTTCGCTGACATTCGCCGAAAATTCTGGGGACGAACACTTGGACTTAGTCGTCGGAGCAGGACATTTTTAGCCTCAATTTCTCCCTCTTTCCACCTCGCAAGTTCCTCCGCGTACTTCGCCGAGGTCTTGCAAAACTCGTCGTCGGTTTGATTTTCTCCCCTGATCGGTTCACGAGGTCGAAATGCCGGTTGAATTTCCTCGAAGTCATGAAATACATGGGCTAACCGACCTTTCTTGATCAGGGCCGCCTGGAGATCCGATTCCCAGTCCGCAAAGCTTACTCCAGGGGTCAAAACGATTGCTGAGCTTTTATTCATATTGTAAGGTGATGTATATCTTTGGAGAAGTTAGGATGACTGGTTTAAAGCATTATCGAGGTGCCACAGAGAAGGACTCCGGGCTCATAACCTGTTATATTAACTAGGCTATATGGGAGCAGGACGATGGATACTCTTGGGGAAGTTATGCTCACAGTAGGTCTCTATAGTCGCTGTCGCGTGTGTTCTCGTGATATGTAAGACTTGACTCTATATTCTCGTATAAAGGAAACTTGGTTACAAATGAATGGACGGAGGTTGAGACCTCCTTATATCTTGCTCCAGACTTACTGTGTTGTTCACAGCCTAGTGCTAGAACATTCCCTTATGATATCATTTCTCTCCTACGAGAAATGACCAGCTCGTTCTCTCTCAGTCCATCAGTCTCTCGCTGATTCCGTTATCTCTATTCCATCTAGTTCTAGTTTGGTCCAGTATACTCACACATGCATCACACATGCATTACACACTAAACACCCTACGGTTTAGTTCCACAGTCACGTGCATATGCTATGACGCGACCTAAAGCATGTACCATGGTAAGTTACATGGATAACACAACAGACTTTGATGTTGATAACCATGTGAATCGGATATCGTGAGTCCCGAATGATAACAGTCTCAAATTACCTACTAGTATCCACAAGATGATCAAAGCAATCGTTCTATTAACCAACTATTGTCCTAATTTCTCTCACGTAAATCCTAAAATAGGGGGACTATTCTCAACACCTGTCAGTAGTGTCCCCTACGAATCTCCAGATCTCACTTTAGAGTCTGTAGAGCCGAGATTGAGTAGCGAAATCCTCACTTCCAAGAGGATTCCCAATCGCTTTCGCGGTCTGCATCGTTTTAATCCCTAAGCATATCCCCTATCACCATTTTCATGAAGCTAACCATGATCAGATCAGATGGCAGGGTCGAAGCCCTAATCATCACAAACCCTTGATCATGGAGGAAAAGCCATCCGATGAGTTTCCGTAGCGTACCTAGCACCCAATACGGAGATGGTGGATAGGATCAAGTCGACCTCGACTGTTACATAGAATGGAGATAAAGATGAATTATGCGCACCTCATGTGGTCACGGTGTCTAGGCCTCGCCTGGCTGGGGCTGCAGGTTTTTTGAGACTTTTTCCCGCGCACGCAGTTTCCATTGCTACCATTTTTATTTTTTTGGGTAGAAGGTTCCGTGGAAAAGGCGGCCGAATTCCGCGGGTAAACACTGAGTTGAATGGCTATTCATTAAGGGGAATATATCAATGATCTTTCAAGTAACAAAAGAGGATAGGAGCACTGTACAAGGTGTGGCCTGGATCAGAAAGGAGCCCAATATGCTAGATAGTCATAGACTCAAGTAGTGCAATAAACACACACAATCACGAGGTGGGAAAATGGTAGAGAGGCAGCCTGGAGAAACAAAGATAGATTGGCTATGAGGAGAAGGAGTAGCTATAGCGAGATCTATATACATGATGCGTGGATGTTCGCTGAGTAATGCTAAGGCTTGATCGGCATTCATGTCAAGTGTATGTTTGTGGTGCTCAAGACCTACACTCCTACAGTGATTGTACGCATGGAGCCATGAGGGCGTAATTCACACACACACACACACAAATCCTAAAATACTTTCTTCCAAAATTATTTACCCGGCTTTTTTGCCTCCGGAAAGTACAAGTATCCGCGTGAGCATATGTTTGGTGACCAACAGAGGCCAGAGAATGACTCGTTGAGAGGTGTGGTCATCGAAACGAGGATATACTAGGTCGAGCTTGTAGACTTGAGGCTTTTGTGGTGATCGATCCCATTAGAAGCGAGAATTTAACATGTTGGAGAATCTTGAATGACTACCTCGTGAGCCAACATTTTTTGTTTTGCGAATTGGACTGAACTAGGCTCTGGTGGAATATTTCACTCCCATGTTTGTGGATAACATCGCAGAGAAGTATCCACTTTAAGCCCTACAAAAATCAAGTCGTACTGCCGGTAATTACGTGTCTCTTCTGTAAGAATATTATTCACTGTTTGTCCTTTTATAAACGCACTTTTCATATTAGGAGTTAACTTTTATCCCCATAGTACAAAATGCAGATCTAAGGAGATAAAACTAGAGAGAGGGGTTTGTTTATTTTACTACTTCAGTCATAGACTATCTAGCTCATTGGTTTCCTCTCTGGCCCAGGCCACTAGTTTTACAGTGTTCTTATCCTCTTCCGTTACTTGAAAGATCATTGACTTCTTGCCCATGATGAATAGCCATTCAGCTCAGTATTTACCCGTGGAATTCAGCCACCTTTTCCACGATACCTTCTACATAAAAATTAAAATCCTCAAAAAGCCTGCAGCCCCAGTCAGGCAAGGTCCAGAAACCTGGAATACCTGAGGTGCGTATATCCATCTATATCTCTCTTCCTCGTAACATTAGAGTCCAGCTTGATCCAATCCACCATCTCCGTATCGGGTGCTGGGTACGCTCTGGATACTCTTCGGATGGCTTTTACTCCATGATCAAGGATGAGTGATGAAAAGGGCTTCGGCCCTACCATCTGACCTGATCATGGTTAGCTTCATGAAAATGGTGATAGGGGATATGCTTAGGGATTAAGACGATGCAGACCGCGAAAGCGATTGGGAATCCTCATCGCAGTGAGGGCGATATAACGTCATTGAATTTGTGTCACATATAAAGCCTATCATTGCAAACGATTCTGTTTGAGTTAATCGAAGTAATAAGTTAACAAAAGAGGAAAAGAGCTAAGTGGATAGTGGAGAGCTCTAGAGTTTACCTATTCTTATGTCGATACTAGCCCTCTGAAACGAGTCAAGGACTACTGAAGTAGCCTTCATTGAACGGTTTTCTTTAAAGCAAAATCGACGAGTTAAAAGATGAATTAGATTTTTAATAAAGAGAACTCTTGCGGAGTCTTTAGGTAATTCATGTATAAATCGAGCTGGTGACTGGTAAATTATTCTACGTTACAGTACCTTATATTTTGTTCCTGCACACTCTCTTTTAAACATGACTTTGTAAAGTGACTAATTCAATAATTAAACTTTTAGCCTCATATCATGTAGAAGCCCTTGGTGTGAAATAGAACCAAAATCGCCTCATATATTTAGACTGAGCAAAGATGCTAGTGGTTTCTTATCAATCGTCCCGATTTCGTGGATAAATCCGGCCAAAAAATCTGCTGTCGAGACCGTGGTATTATTGAGATGTACCTCATCTGTTCCCCCGGGAGAAAATTATGTAGCTCGGCGGCATTCGAGATCTTGTTGGCCACTAGATTTCCAAGTATTTCATCTCTTAGTGTCTAGAAGGGCTATAGATAATACCTTAGGGTATCGCATGATTGCTTTTGAGTTCAGCTTATCACAGATGTTAGAGACTCTGAAAAATCTTTCATATGATGTCTCTTTGAAGGGCACATGTTTGAAAAGTCAGTGATGACCTTTTGTTGAGCAAGGTTATACTAATATGAATCTCTCTCAGAGTTTATTGAATTGATTGTTCTCTCCCATGAGGAATCTATCTAGGTACTATATACATATTGAGTATCCTACTAATTCCAAATATAGACTGAATATTAGATTGCCAATACGAACTGCTCAAATCTCTGTTCCATACATGGGTCTAAGATTGGCTGTTACATTATCATGGGCAATAGAACGAGGGAAACAACAAGGGAGTTGTGCGTATGAAATTGGCCATCCGTCTAGTCGCTAATTGTAACATTTGCATGACTAAGTTATTGCCCTTGATGCATCAGCCCAGTTTACTTGCTTGTAAACTACTCAACTTAAACATCATGAGACAATATTTAAACTTAGGGTAATCTGGTTGTTACCTTTGCAAGAAACCTTTATTCATTTAAAATTGAGATTTTTCATTACGTAAATATTTTTCTGATCTTCGCTACCAATACAGAGTAAGCTTCAAATTTGTCTATATATCTTGGCACTGAAGTATCATCTACGACTTTAAATATGAAGTTAACTGAACATTCATTATAAGGGGGCACCTTTTAGAGATGGGAATCAAAATTCACTAACCCTCCTTTCTTGTCTATTGGATCAACACTCTGATTAACTAAATGATTTTTATTTGCTTGCGTACTAAGTTAAGCCTCAATCTTCTTCCTGAGAATATCCTTCAATGTGATGGCATCAGCAGCAAACTTGCTGATACCTTCACGTAGCTTTTCTACGGCCATCTGATCCTCGTTGAAATCAAATCGGAAAGACGACTCGCAATCAAGGTAATTCTTCTTCTCAATATTGAGGCTTGCTGCACCCGATGCATCGAGCTTTTTCGGTACGGGAGCATCAGACGCTAAAAGTTCTTCCAATAGGTTTGGCTATTTTAGTTAGCGATGAATGGTTGAATAAAAGCTAGAAACCTACAGAGATTGTTAAGTAATCACAGCCAGCCAATTCTGTGATCTCACCAATATTTCTGAATGAGGCACCCATGACGATAGTCTTGTAGCCAAACTTTTTATAATAATCGAATATTTTCTTAACAGACTCAACTCCCGGGTCTTCTTCCTTGCTGTATGTCTTTCCAGTTTTGGCTTTGTACCAATCCAGTATACGGCCCACAAAAGGAGAGATTAAGAAAGTGCCAGCTTCCGCGGCAGCAATAGCTTGTACTTGAGAGAACATGAGAGTCAAATTTACGTTGATGCCATGGTCACGCTGTAGTATACGAGCAGCTTGAATACCCTCCCATGTAGACGCAATTTTTATGAGAACTCGCGATTTGTCAATTCCAATAGATTTGTATAGCTGAATAAAGTTAGTTATGGTTCTATACCACCTATAATTTCCTTCCATACGCACCTCGATAATATGCAGGGCTTTTTTTACAGATCCCTCAGTAGAGAAAGAAAATTCTGCATCAACTTCGGTAGAAACCTTCCCTGGAACTACTTTGAGAATCTCCTTCCCAAACTCGACGAGAAGTCGGTCAAGTGATGCATCGACTTTTTCTTTAATGGAGCCTCCTTCTGATTTTCCGGAGTTGACGGCAACATCAATCAATTTTGCGTAGCCTGGATTTTGCGTTGCAGCAAGGATGAGGGATGGATTCGTTGTAGCATCTTGGGGCTTGTATTTGCCGATTGCTATTATTGTGAATCAGCTTCTTGCCCTTTATTCGGGTTGGAGAGTTTGTGTAAAGAACTAAAAATTTACATTCAAAGTCACCTGTAAACGTTAGTTAAAATAATTCTGGATGATTAATCACCCTCATGTTACTTACCAGAATCACTGACTACGACCTTAGAGTCAAACCAGGATTAGCAAAAGTCTAACAAAATGCTGCCATTTGCAATTTACAAACGGGACAAAACACTTCGTAGGAATACGTTAGTCAACTTACAGTACCAGTCGCTTTGAGCTGCTCCAAAGATGATGGCATGACTGAGTTTGGACAAACGAGGCCAAGCGGGGTAGTAAATGACTAGTGATGATGAAATGCTCTTTTTTGGTTGTTTAGAGCCTGCTCTGGAGCTGATGGGGGTAAGATGGATAGAATTGCAAGTGTTAAATTCCGTGCAACGAGAGGGGCGTTGACCTTTATAGATTGATAGCTAGGGGGCTCCACATAAATTGTGAATCCTGAGTGCTGCATCTGGCGGGGTCCAGAGGGTGGAGATTCGGCCATTTATAACTGCTAGTACTTACATCACACAAAAGCCCGTATAACAGAACCAGCAAGAACCAGTCTAAAAACATAAACATCGGCCATTAATTCCTTGGTTTCCAGCCTTTGTTACTTGTCAATCTTTCATTCATAGCGATACAGCAATAGGCTCATGAATAGAATCAAATATCCTTACTTCCAAGTTACCGGCGCTAGTTTCATGGGTATATCCATGCACCATGGACTCCATATTTACCGGAGATCTAGACTATACCTAACATTAACCATGCGTTACCTTACGGTCCTCGTTCACTCATCGCCATACCATGCCATCAATGACGTAAGGCCCGTGGAATGTCTTGGACCCCACCCTTAGAGTCCCACAGAGCCAGGCACTTCCCGTACCAGAGTCTGTCGTCCACTACAATAATTCAAGTCATTAAAATTATGACTTAAAGGGCTCATTCTCTCATTGGTTTTATCCTGTTATGAAGTTTGTCGTACCACTCATGTAGGTTACTTTCCGACCCAGGCCACACCTTGTGCAGTACTCATGTCCTCTGTCGTTGCCAAAAAACACCTCAAACATAGAGTCTATGATGACTGACAATTTTGCTAAGTATTTATCCGTGGAATCCAGCCAGCTCTTTTACGGTTTCTTCTGCCAAAAAAGTACCATTGAGAACTGCGTGCACAAAAATCTCTCAGAAAACTTGCAGTCCCAGCGAGGCAAGGCCTATACATTATCATGTCTAAATATCTGAATGAAGTATGAATTAAAAAGAAAAAGTCTATATACAGCAGTCATGTGACATGAGAATTTCCATATATTTCTCTATTTATTTTGACAAGCGAGGCCAACCTGATTGGATCCATCATCGCCATATGATGAAAATGGTGACACAGAGTGTTGTTGATGCACGGGCCTTCCATTTTGTCTAGGTTCCCGACAGGATCTTGTGTCTAGTTAATGCAGAAACTCGAGAGACAAAAGGCAATTTATTAGTGCTCGAAAGCTAACGTGGGCTCATATTACAAGATTTTAAACTAAAGAGAAAAGTGTCTAGAAGGATACTTTTTTTTTTATCATCTAATGTGTATTCAGCTATGGAGTTATGACACATGACCGGTACTATGTATACATGTGGGATGACTCTTTTGACGTTAGAGACACTCATACTCTGGATTTGTTGATAAATCGGGACTAAGAAGTTTATCTCAGAGTGAAGAAATGTGATTGATTGATTTTTATGAAATATTCCATCTCTCTTTAAATACAAGTCCATCCGTCCTTCATCCGATCACCCACGTACAGACAATATAATCTCCCAATACTATTGTGCAAGCTAAATGTGTCAAATAGTCCTTAGTATGAAGTATTAACACGATTAATTCCAATATCGCAAACAGCAACTGTCAGGAGCGACTAATACTAGTACAAGTTTACGAGTCGTAGATAACACGAATATAGATAGTTACAGGAATACGACTCGTACATGATTACATGAGTACAAACAGTTACAGGATATTTTCACAGATAACGTCAGGTAAAACGTTTAGAGCTCAGTATGTCTCACGTGAGATCTTGGCGCACTTAGCCCGCAGGGTTATATGTACTTTCTTGTCGGTTTCACATCGCTTTGGATGCAGGTCATGGTTAGGTTGACAGGATTTCATTCGCAAATAACACTATGAGGTATGTTCGCTTACACAAACAGTCGACTCTCCTCCGTAAGTACCCACCAAAGGGAATTTCGAAACCTTTGGTTATCCAAGCATGCCTTCGTCATCCATGTGCATTAACACCGCGAGAAATGTGGTTGTGTTTTGCCGGATTCGAACCAGCGATCTACTGTCTCAAGTGGGATATGTGTCCAAGCTATCCAGACTCTACTTGGCAGACCGGCCAAGACGATGTACCACCGCACCATCCAACCATGGCGGTGTTTATAGTGTCGCCTGCACTCTCGTAACAGGAGCCATGGCGCGCACAAAGCTCAAATTGTAAAATCTCCTTGCCAAAATTCGAAATTTAATGCCCGTCAAGACTGTATATATCCTTTGCATCATCTTGTGAACTTGTCCTGATTCCTCTCACGTCCATCCCAAAGAGCTGCCTCCCAGATTTGTACGCCACGCTTTGCTTTCTCCGTCGGGTGTAAATATCGGCGTAGGCGTGTGTTTGGTGACCAGCTGAGGCCAGAGAAAGTCGTTAGGAGGTGTGGTCATTTGAATGAGGATGTACTAGGTCGTACTTGTAAACTTGATGAGGCTTGGATAGGAATCGATTTCGTTGGGAGTGAAAGATTGATATGGTGGAGTATTTTGAATCATTGCCTGGTGGGCCAACTTGTTCGATATTGCGAGATTTGACTGAACTTGGCACTGGGAGAATATTTCACTCCTAGGTTCGTAGAGGACGCCGCGTACAGGTGTTCAGTCTTGCCCCCCTACTCCGTCGTCTCGTATCATGTTATAAACACATAATTTTTGCATCTTGAGCTAATTTATTCCCTGTACACAGAAGTATCATAAAAGTCTTAAAGTTGAATTGTGATCAACGAAGCAAATTATCTTTTATAATTGAAGCAACTCATTGGTCTGTCGTGCAAGTGAGATTATTCTCAGGAAGATTGAGGAAGAGGACTTCTCCGTGAATTGCAGGACCAACACTGGAGAGAACTCAAGGTATGCTGGTGGGTTCATGAGACTTTGATTTGACACGATTCTTGATTATCCCAGGCAAATAGAACATATTTAACATTTTCCATGGTAGCAACTGCAAGCTAAGACACTGTCATTTAATGCAGTGGATGAAGCAATGGTGTGGCTAAAGTTATCGAACTGACAAATCTGATCTGACGCGTCAAAGAAGTGGTGTTCACAAGCCGTGCTCTGTACGAATTCCAGACTGTAGATGCGATGTTAAAAGAATTACTGGGTCTATGGAAACCGGTACACAAAGTTTCTTACAGGGGACATTGAATTGGTACATCATTTGTATGGTAGACGCAAAGAAAATAAAGAGTCGATGATTTACACCTGGCTGTAATGGTTTCTGTACAGAAAGCTCGGGCGTTAGTTTGTCAAAAGGTAATTTATTTGATAATCGAAGAACAGGAGGAGAGCTACACCTAACATCCTATTTGTATACATAACCCCGACATTCCGGACACTGGTAGCTGTTCCCCAGTCGTGCTCCCATTATCCAGGTGTAGGCTAATTACCAACAATGTTTCGCACATGGGAAGTGCCAGACTTTCATTACAAGCATAATTTAGTACCAGCCTAATGAATATGTGTGTACCGAATAGCATAGGCTACGGGTAATCTTTTGGTTTGCTAGTATTCGCACTGGATTCTACTAAGCATGTTCCAGGGGGAATTCATTATCAGGATGGCTAGTGGAGTCACACTGTCGGGGGACTTTAAATACTTACTCGAAGGGTGTGGGAGGACCATGAACTTGATAATTAGTACTTTAGGGAAATATTAAGAGTTCTGATGGAATCTCGAACTTTCCGGGTAGATTTTTCATTGGAACTTCTCGAGATAAAAGTCTGTTAGCACGAGCTTCTTGGACCTAATCTTAAGGGCTTGTCAAGGACTGAGCTTTCATATAGGGTGTGGCATTTGGTCTTCGCTTTTGTGGGAATAAAGGAAGTGTCGTGCAATTCAGATAAAATGCAGTTGATCTAATTGAAAAGAAGCAAGTTGCCCGAAAGTTGTATGTGGATTTAGGCGTTGTTTTGTTTTACAGGTCGGGGTTTTGAGTGAGGATATGAGAAACAGGATTCAGTCTTACATGCTTGGACATGCTAAAATATAAGTTAGTGGCAAAATGGGTAATCTAGAGTCATGTAATCTGTGTTGAAAAACCTGATGATAAGTGAAGAAATAACTTGGAAATTAAAAATTTGCCCTCAGATTAGCTCTCATAGTACTCATAGCCAACACTCATCATTCTCCTGCCGGCCTAGAAGGTGACAGAAGCATGATTGGCTGGCCTGCATATTTGGCTTATGGACATTGGTCATCATAGGGCTAGTGATTAAAATTGGAATGATTGATATAGAGTTCCGCGGTATTTGTGACTGCCCATGATGATAGTGAAGCTAGATAGAATCAGTATCGAGAACAGTGATGAGAAATATACTCACTTCAAGCTCCGTTTGAAAACTATATTTCTCTTACAATGACCGGCAGCCGCTTCAGCCGCATTTTTATTTCCCCAAGTGCAACAGGAACAAAATTTTCTGGTCGTAGAAGAGCTGCCAGTAGAGGTCTCAAGCTTGCACTTTTCTCTCATCATTGCTTCATTCATCTTACTCAAGACAGTTTCGTAGATACTTTCTGCGCACGCTATATAATTTCCACTTGCTAAGATTTCTGTTCATTGCGCACTCATTTTTGACACTCTTCACCATTACGGCTGGAGGTTAAATTGTTGGTAGCAAAGTGAAGGGTGTATCGTCATTGCAAGTTGACAACTTGAAGAGCAAGATGATGAAGGTTATTCTCACCAGGAAGTTTGACTAGCGGCCGCTAGACTACTTCGGCAAGACATAGGTGAATTATTGTGTATCTCGGCCATTAGCAGCCTCCGCGTTTTGCTTGGAATCTAGAAAGACCCGTCAAACAGCTCTAAAGGATTTCACATCTATTTGCTCAGTTTCCAGGCGATTCGCAATCATGGTAAGTTGAAAGATATTCCACGCCCTTTGCGTGTAGCTAATCGGGCGTGCGTAGGCGCGTAACTCGGAAAAGGCACAGAGCATGCTCTTTCGCTTTCGCGAGTCGCAGGCAGCCGACCTAGGTATTATAGATGTCGGGCGAACCCGTCGCCCCAAGATGATCACTGAAGTTACTGCTATTCCCGCTTGCGAAAAGTGGCGCGGCCAGGTTCTCAAGGAGATTTCGCGGAAAGTCTCACGGATTCAGGAGGCCTCCCTTTCGGATTTTATGATCAGAGATCTTAACGATGAGATTAACAAGCTCATGAGGGAAAAGCATATGTGGGAAGTCCAGATTCGAAATCTAGGTGGCCCTAACTACATGCGCGGTGGGGGTAAGGTCTACGATGAAGAGGGTCGAGAAATTCCTGGCAGTGGTAAGGGATATCGGTAGCCTACCATCCCTGCTTAGGTGAAATTATCACTAACAAATACGAAGATACTTTGGGCGGGCCCGAGAACTCCCGGGGGTCAAAGAGATGTTCGAAGCTGCTGCGAATTCTCTAAAACCTGAGAAGCCACTGGAAGACCGGCTAGACTTTCGGAGTAAGGTGGACGCTGCATATTTTGGCTATCACTTAGACGAGGAAGATGGGAGTCTATTGGAATACGAAAGAACCAAGGAGCAAGAAGCCTTCATGAACCTGGCGTCGAAGAAAGACGATCAAGCGCCCAAGGGATGGGAACCCTTGCCCGGTGATACAAAGGAAGGCGAGACTTGGGATTTGCCTACCAGCGAAGAAGTTCAAGAAGAGCTGCTGGATAGGAGACGGAAGAAGTTACTCGATAAGCTCGGATGATTCAACCACCTCAGCAAAAGTTAACGTTGCTATGTCACCTGATGCTCACGATCAAAAATAACCGCAGACCAGCAATGTCAGAGATTTCTTTTTCTGCACCTGCCCAGCATAGCCCACACTATTTCTTTTAGGCACTGCAACCGGTACCACCCACTTCACACCCATCGGTATATTGCTATGGCTCAGCTCAATGGAGAGAAATATCCATCTGTATGACACGAAACGGGCCTGTAACTACAAACTTGCTACCGTCTATGTAGTGATTCTTACCCAACAGTAACAAACACCCAGGAGCTGAAGGTGGCAGAACAGCATTGAGGCATCAATTACTAGCCTAGATAAAACTGTGATCAGTTATAGCATTTATCTTGCAACATCAAAGCATTGGTGTCGTCGAATAACAAGTGGCAGCATAGAATGTAAATTGATACGCTTAGAGGACTTTGGATAAAATCCTGGGTTAAAGCTAACAATTGTTCGTACTTCTGTTTTATATCTGGCCACTGCCCGTTATGGATAGTATGTAGCAGTTCGGAAGGATCGCAGTCGCAGTAGCTCAAAAAAGCCTGCCCGACTGCCGATAAATTAGAGGATCCGGTAACTCTCACTGAGGAATAAGCGGACGTGAGTAGTTAACCTTGCATACGATTTGAAACCAGACAGTATTTTTCCTCATTAGGTGTTTTCTGCATACCTATCTATAGCGCTAAATGATTTAATTACGTGGGTAAGAAATTACTGCCCCCAACTCCAATAATAGATCATGATAAGTTTCTTCAATCTAGGGTGGTAAATTATCTTCAAACCCATTCTGAATAAACATGTAACTACTGGATTCCAATGTTGCAATATCATTTCTCTTACATTATTGGTTTGGAACAAAAGCGTAAATGATTATGCAAAGCTTCATAAAATGTGAGATGTGCTTTCTTTGAAATATCGAGAGTGAAGTAATAAATATCCTAATGCATTGCATTCTATCAGTGATTATAGGTATTAACTACCACTTAACCAATTTCTTTTGGATTGGTCTTCACATTCCTAATGCTAGTGTGTGCTTGTACGTATCAAGAATTTGAGATTTTGAGATAAAACAAGTGAAGGAAGGGGTTAAAAGTGAAGGCTGGCTCATTATCTTGCGTAAAGAGCCACTATTATCTACTTAGGCCGTTTGATTATCTTCCATGGTCTTCAAGCAGGAGTTAAGCTTCCCAACCATATTTCCACGCTTCCATGATCTTTTCCCGAGTTGGTTGATTCAGCAGCCTGGTATTTACAATAGAGGGAAATTAGAGAAATAAAGAGAGCATGAGTAGCGCAAGATGGGAGTCGTCGACCAGAATAAGGTGACCAGGGAAGGAGGTATTGATAAATGATTCAGTGCAACGGAAACTGATACTGATTCATGAGCTTCTTCCGATAGCCATTCCCCAAGCGAGACTTTAATGAAATGAGAAGTTGCGTATAATTTATATGGCATGTCACTCGACAGCTCGCCGCTACACATAAAATGGCAACGGCATTTCAGGGTAGCGAAAGGGTTTTCCTGGGTTTGCATTGCTAGATATACACGGTTGAGGGAAGGGTGAGAAAGCCTAGCACAAAGGTCTCGAGTAGTATCAGCGAATAGACCCACTGCATAGGTGGTTCAAACGTCAAGCTGATGTTTTATTGTACTACTTGAGTTGATGACTATCTAGCACATTGGACTGCTTTCTGACCAGGGCCACTCCTTACAAAGTGCTCCTTGCCTCTTATGTTTCTTGAAAGATCATTAGTATATTGCCCATGATGAATAGCCATTCAGCTAAATATTTACCCGTGGAATCAAGCCACCTTTTCCACGGAACCTTCTACCCAAAATAAGTAAAAATGGTAGCAACGGAAAATCATCGGATGGCTTTTCCTCCATGATCAAGGGTTTGTGATGATTAGGGCTTCGACCCTGCCATCTGATCTGATCGTGGTTAGCTTCATGATAATGGTGATAGGGGAATGTGCTGAGAGATGAAGACGATGCAGACCGCGAAAGCTATTGGGGTTTCTCATGGAAGTGAGGACTTCGTTACTCAATCTCGGCTCTACAGACTCTAAAGTGAGATCTGGAGATTCGTAGGGGACACCACTGATAGTTGTTGAGAACAGCCCCCCAAACGTCAAACTGGATTATCTTCGTATATAGTCGTCTGGGACTCCAAGTGCATGATCAAATGAGGACTGGTGAGGGGTGGTATTGTCTGAAGGGAGGTGTATCGGAGGCAAGAGGAGATATGCTACTTGACGAGATCCCCTGGCCTGTAGGCAGAGAGGACCTACATAACCTACAAAGTTATATACTCAGACAGGATGATAAAATGAATTAATAAAGCCGGTATACTAGATAGCTGTATACAATATGAATTAAAAAAAAATAAAGCTGGTAAGGTGGCCGCGTTCCAGGAATGGAAAAACACATGGACACGTCCAGGGAACGAGATACCATCTGGTCATCGAGCTTCGGCAGACCCTGAACATTGGAGAGCCGCAAATATTGATGTAGATAAGGCAACAGGCAGAAAAAGGATTACCTATAGAAACACACCCTCAAATATCCACCGGAACCGCAGTAAGGCTCAAAGCAGTATTGCAGTTCAGATAAGAAGTGAGCACATTGGTCTCAATACTTATCTGTATCGAAAGAAAGTCTCCGGAGTGATTAATCCAAAATGTCAGTGTGGATATCCGTCTCAAAATATCAAACATATGGTCTTGGCGTGTTCTCAGTGGGCAATGGGAAGGGGAAGGGGAGAGTTGCTTCGCAAGGCAAAAGACAGGTCATTTGCGGCATTAATGAACAGCCCAGATGATGTAGAGAGAATCAAAAAGTGGATCCTGCCAAAAGGCTGCTTTGAACAATTCCGGCTTGCAGGAGAAGTAGAAATAGCATTGAACGTAAAGATGAGACGATGTGGAGAAGGATAGGACGTATTTCACACTGTATAAACAGTGTAAACGCACTTTCTGTAGGAAACCTCGGAAAACCAATAGACACGAGACAGAGAGTTTTAGGGGGTTTTTACCAAATTTGGTTTCCTCCTGTGTAAACATTATAGCTAGTTATACCTGCATGGGCCCATAGGGTACCTGAACGGGCTAAATGAAATCAAATCAAAAAATGAATTAATAATAATAGTCATCGGACTAGCCTTCTCTGTATCATGCTCTATTAGTGCTAGGCTTGTGTCCGTAACTAATAGGAACTCATTCATTCAACCACGGCTCATAATCTACAACGTTTCTGAGGTGACTCACTATCCTACCTTTGAATCAAGGGATGGCAGTGAGAGAGAAGATGGTGCCTCATCTCGGCCGTGTTCTTGATAATCCGTCTTCGTCAAAATAATCCCCAGGCCGTCACTACCACCGGGTCGTGTTGGAACAAATATGTCTGAACACCTATCAGTGGTGCTCTTTGCGGAGATGAGGGAGAAATCCCCGTTAAGAAGTGTGATTCAGTCACGACACAGAGCATATTTGTGAGTTTTCGATGTAATGACGGTTAGCCTGCTCTCGGTCGGCGACCATGCCCGTAGAATTTATTGGCTGCACAACCCGGCAAAGTCAACCATGAGCACACCGGATGCAGAAGGTAGACGGGCTCAAATCCGTCCAGCTCTTGTCATCACACTAAAACTCTAGAAAAATTTTCTTAACCGATCTCTTTTCACGGCCTACCGAAGATCTCATAGAACCTAGATGTCAAAATTACAGTTAAAAATATAATAGGTGGTCTAACCCGCCGCAACTTTCGTGTGATGTGAAGGGACGATTGAAGCAACGAGCTTATGTTTGCCCCTAAGCCGGCCAAGCGCTTCACCCACTTGACCTGCGACAAGTTGTACCGAGGATTTACGTACTACATTTTGCTTGCACACCAGTCAGTATTTGATGTAGAGCGGAGCATCAGTGTCTTGATCTTGAGCTCTAACTAGTACCTCTGCTCTCTACAGCTGGTGACACAGCAGCGATAAGACAGTGGGCCGGATTCTATTCCACACTTGAAAGATGAGGAAACCGGCAGGTGGATATGGCAGACGCTGCCATGATGGAATACAAGGGAAGCAAGCTGAATGAGTCCTCGGACGAAGAAATGGACCCCTAGAGGAGACGAGAAGATGCTGGGACGAAGCAAGCGGCGACGGAGGGGCTAAGGTAGAAATTGGTCAGATGTCAAGGGCTCTGGCGCGTAGTGGCTGATTCGGCGCGCCCAAATCGCTTCACTGGACCGTAAGACCTGGCATAATCCAGCAGGTGTATAAAATCTGAAGTGGTCCGGCCGTTCACGCACTCCATACTGATGTAACCGATCCTACTCGGTCCTGCCCGCGTCGAAGTTCCCAACAGAGTGCATAGTATGCCAATCCATAGCATATTATGATCGATATTTGCATACACCAGCAGTGTATTTTTATACTTGATTTGTAGCTGCAAAAAACAGCGCACTGCATAGAGCAAGAAAGTAGGCGCCTGATTTGAACCGGTAACCTGCCAGTGAGAATGGCCAATCGGCGACATAGACCGTGGCTGAGAAACGCTACGCTAACTGTAACCCAGAGGACGAGTTACTCCCGAACGCCAAGATTGATTTTCAGTCGCGCCATGAACGCCAATCAGAATTCGCAGGCGAGGGCGCTCTGATTAATCGTTGACTCACGGCATGAGACGAGCGCTAGGAGGGACTTGTCTCAGCAAATCAAGCAGAAGCACTGTTAGCCAAACAGAGTCTATCTCAACTCACTGCCCCTCTGAGACTCGTCAAGAGCCCGACCTAGGCAAAGCCATGGGTAAGTCGGATAGGTTATGATACCTGTCCGTGCTAACTATACCGCCTATTTCCTGCGATCGGCAGGTTCTCGTGTGCCTTGCTTTGTATGCAAGGGAGACTTCAAGTTTTCTGGAAAATGTCCTGGAAAAAGAATTAACCGGGATGTGCATGAGGATCGGCAATAGGGTGCAAAGGGAGTGGATGGGGGAGAAGGGCTGTTCGGCAATACTACACAAAAATTGTAGTAAAAGTGTTTGTTCATAGCTATACAACTTTATGTTGTCAAGAACGTTTATTGGCCTCGATCTCGAGTTGAGCCGGCGGAATAGGGTAATCCTCGAGGGTGATTTCATATCAATTAATATAAAAATCTTCACATTACAATATTAACTACTTGCACACAGCTATCAAGCCCCGACACCAGCGGGGCTTATGCTAATTATGCATTTATTAACGAAAGAAAAAATTTCCGTGAATTCAATGTAAATTTCTGAGCTCATACCCTCATCAGACCATATTTTAGCCCGAATACTAACGCCAATAATTGGTATCATAAAATGAAAAGCTTTCTGTCCTAATTTGACCTCCGAAAGTGAAAATATAACGGAATGCTCATGTTTCTTTTGATAAAGGGGGAACAACCTTATATCCAGTCTGCCCGTTCGCCAGGATTAGTGGAATTCGATGGGGAATCCGGCCCTTTGAATTTTTCTGTCGGACTTTTCGAGGGCTCATGTACAGAACCTTTCCGAGAAGTAGCGGATGACTTCTTCTGTGGCCGGTAGACAGAGGGACTTAGCTTGATGCCTGACAGCCTAGGCTTTTTTGTATCCGAAGGCTTACTAGGAAGAAGAGAGATGGGTTGTTCTAAGGTGTCCAAGTTTTCCTTCAGATGTGGCGACTCAGGTTTCTCGGGCTTCTTATCATTAGGGGAGGATAGCATTGGAGAACTCTGACCCGTTGATACATTAGTTTCCACATGAAGTGGAATGGGTGGAAGGACGGCTCGTTGGAAGCCAGAGTATGTCTTTGGTTGGAGAGAATATGGTGATGAGAGTGGTGCAGGAGATGCAGGAGATGCAGGAGATGCAGGAGCTGCTGGTGGTCTAGCGTCATAAGTCGTAGAGGGCAGTGAAAATGCTTCCTCGTTTTTCGCAAAAGCTTGTAGGGGTGCCAAAGAAAGACGTAGTCCAATTTGTACAGTCGCAGTTGACGAGTCTGAGGATACCCGGACATGACGGCTGTTGCGGGCAAAGCTAGGTTTAGGAGGCGCTAAATCGGTTATATCATAGATTGAAACCTGTTGAGCAAACTGGTTAAATGGTATGGGCGGAGGAGCTTCCTGTGCAGAGAGAAAGGGGAATGGATTTTGCATAGTTGTCGCAGGAATTTCAGAGGTCTCCACTTCGGTGTGCTGTGGTGACCCATAGACGTGGCTTGGAAGTTTCTCCATGTTAATCTCCTCCTTTTCTAGATCTGACGAGCCTGCCTTACGAGATAATTCACTGAATTGACTCTCGCGTGTTGCTGTACTTAGGGATAAAGAGCTAAACACAGGGTCCTCTATGGGACGATAATTCCTCAATTCGTTGGGGCCGAAAATTCGAATTTCATGCTTCCCACCGTCCCATGATCCACCAATTTTAGGTCCAATTGATGTTGTGGAGGTATTGGCTCTCAAAATGAGGTGAAGTAGCCCATGAATCAGCCCAGATATATTCAATACAACCGTGGCAAGCATTCCAAGCTTTTTGTTGCCTTCCGTAGAAGCGAGCGAGCCAAAGTAGGGCAAAATTAGTGCCTGATTTTTATAAGCCTTTGTCTAATTCTAGGGAGGATAATGACCTACCAGAGACACGAATCCAACTGCCATGTAGTGAACGATTCTTGATGCAGCAATTCGTTGGTGCTGATCCACGAAGTTTGCAGTCGAAAGTTTTAAGAAGATGGTAAGCGCACTTATAAACATCAATCCGGCAGCTGATGAGAATATAATTATTCCTGGAACCCCGTATCGTGTGATAAAGCCAAGTAGCGATGCGAGACAAATATCCGGCGCGGGCACCAGAAATGATGGAATCCAGGTGGCGATAAGCATCACAAAAACTATTGCACCGCACTTTGAGACGTTATACTTCCCTCTCGCCTGGAAGGGAAGATTCTGTAAAGCTCGAAATGCGCACTCGATGCCGAGTACCACTTGAATATACGGCACAATGAAGATGGCTTTCAAGTCAGCTTAATTAAAAGAAGTAGGCCAGGGTGAACCTACCAGGCCAGATAACTTGTGCTATAGTTCCGCATCCATCAATAGTTACGGACATGAGCCCGGTGCTCTGCACACTAGTAAATATAATTCCTTGAATCACGATACCGATGGATATAATCAATGGGTATAGCTCTGCTGGATGGATGGATGAAATGCAGAATTTTCTTTTCTAGCGGTCAGTACATATCGCTCTTATCTCTGGAAAGAGGCGCACTTACGATGCTTTGAATTTTGGATTGCATCGTTTGGATGCCCAGTAGCAATCATAGATAATGCTGGCTGCAGTCGCAGCGGCAGCGATGATGTTAAAAGATGCGAGTAATATTGTTGACGTCCTGATCCATTTGCTTTCCGCGAATATCAACTTCGAAATTAGTTGAGCGGTCGCTGGATCAGTGGTATTCGTGATGTCTGGAGGGAGGAAATCTGGGGATCCAATGTAGTCCACATTTCTCAGCGCCAGCATTATTGTTCTGGTATAGACCACCATTTTCTTAATACTTTCAGCTCTACCAATTCACTTTACTCACGCGTGCCGGAAGGCAAAACATTTTTTCTTGACACAATACTGCTATATCATGGACGGTTGTTGAAGAAGTCGTAGTCCAAGAAAATAAGGGATAGGCGACCAAAGGGATTAAAGCAGCTGATAGACCAAGTGATTAGAGTATAATTACGAGTGCGAGTTTCTAATAGCGACAATGACTAGAGAAAAATTAAAACAAAGATACGTAACTAAATTCATCCCAAACCCGAAGAAAAAAGTTCACAAGATACAACGACTCAGCTGTTTGGGGCTGCAAGAGATATAGATAGTAGGATATGTGAGACTGTAAACGCGGCTATGGATATGACCGGGTTTCCGGTACGCAGCAGCGGGGGGTGGACTCGAGTTTGAAAGAGGGGGAGGGTATGGGGCAAGTTAGAATGCTTCTTCTGACCGGATAGGCGAGAAAAAATGGACTGGCGAAAGTGACGAAGTTCATGGATTCAACGATCAGCATTTCCATGCTGGGTAAGTCAAGAAGTGGTGGGTCGACATGGTGGCCATCTCCTGACCCAGGAACAGGCTACCGCAATCATGATGAACTCGATGTGAGCGGGGGTCAGAGGAAGTAACTGGCGAGAGCGAAGGTTGTATCAACTTGGCCGCAAGTTGGAGGGAAAATCCGAATCAGATCATAGCTTTTGGACCATCGCAGAATCCTGGGGCGTTAAGGGTGTGAGGCGATGATGTAGTCAGATTCTCAATCTAGGACAGTTTCGGGCGACGTCGCAGATCGTTGACTTGGCCCTTGAATTTGTGGCGACTCCAGCGTAAATCAAATTCAGGTGAAGCGAGTCGCGCTGGAGCAGGGCGGGCGAGGGAGAAGAGAAGGGAGCTGCTCCAAGCTTGTCTAGATTATTGATATGATCTGACCCCAGTCGGAAGGATACTGGAAGAATCAGCGCGACTTGATGACGCACAAGTCAAATGGTGGCCGCAGGTGGGCAATTGAAAGTTCTGTTTTCCCTGATAAGCGGGTGTGAGGGTCTGAACATAATCAGCACATCAGGCAGGTTGGTCCTCAATGAGACATAACCGTGCGGCCACCGACTGAGTCAAGATTGTACCAACGTACATCCCGATTCGGGTTCCATATTCTTGACAGATAATAGCTTCATGGTCAGAATTAGGCAGACCCGGAATCCGAGAAACTCGTATACTCATCACAAGTCTGACCTTTCCTGCTGGTTTCCAGAGGCAGATACATCATGTTGTTGGTTGGCAGATGGTCAGCATCATTCTCATCATCGCAGCATTAGTACTGAACGGTTCTTCCATCTACCTATTTGGTGGGCCGCCATAGTAAATCACATTCTAGGTTCTCGCAAAGTACCGTTACATCTGGAATAAATTGCGGGAGTAGATAGAAGGAAAAAGCATCGCTGCTTCTGTGAAGCACTTAGAGTCTCAAGCGCTACAAAATATGAAACTGAAACATGACAACGAGATTTGGTGGTTTGGGATAGCTGTGTGCCGATATAATTTGGCGCGTTGATGAGCGCGTTTATTGGATGCAGGTAGGATTTTCCATGTTGCCAGTGTGGTTGAGAAGGTGTTTGCCGTTGGTGCAAGTGATCAGACAGATTAACTTAACAATTTGGTTGAATATCATCGCTGAAGGCCTCTGCCTAATCGAGGCAGCGAAAGCAGGAAATTCCGCTAGTCCTTGTAAAGCATGGTGAATGTAGCGGGAGAATCAAGGCTAGGACTAGACGTTGACCGTCTCGAAGTCTATCTGCCACAACATCCTCATGGCTGAGAATTCCGTTAAACGCGCCAATCCAGATCCCAGCGCGTAGGCTCTGATATCACCTCGCAGCCGGATCTAGTGAGCAGGGTAGGGGTGGATTCTAACGGAAATGGGGAATCCTAGTATCAAATCCACTCGCCCGCAGCCAAGACACATGTCCAAAAGACATGCAGCGGATAGACGTTTCATAGAATGGAGGAGTTCCGCATGAGAGCGCAGCAATCTAGAAAAGCTTGGCATAGAATCAGACACGAGGGGAACACTGTGGTAACTGTGATGCGAACTACCTCATGCCTTTGTTCTCGTCTGAAAAGAAGTTTCGGCTAAAGGAGGCACATTTTCAGTGCCGCGATCAGCCCTCTCGGCACTCGCCGTGCTAGTCGCTCGAGATGAGCATGACAGCCCTTTAGTCCAGCCAAAATGAACGTTTGAACGGACATCTACGCATCTTCAGCTCTACGACGAGGTCTAGATGTTGAAGTTTCCTCATGCATTAATCTCCTGCCTCAATAGCCCGACCTGCTGCCACTCAAACGGAATCGAGAAGCTAGATCTCACTGGAACGTATCAGAGGTATTCTCCTAGTGCGGAGCTAGCTTCACAACAAGCTTCATTCGTTGAGTGTCTGCAAGCACATATCGCCCTGCCCCGTTCCGCTTGGTCTCTCCTCATGATAAAAAAACGTAAGAGTGACTGCCCACTTCACGGCTTTGGGGCCCTCAAAACTACAAAAGAGCATCTAAGTCGCTCCCCTTGCACGCTACTAACTTTATGGCTACGCGCGCTGCACGCACCGATCATTCATATATTTCAGCGCAAGCTCAGCTTCAAATTCGAATCCAAAATAGCCATTACCTCCAGCCTTATCGGATTCAGCCAATGCCACATACAAGGAGGCACTCTGTCAGGCTAACAGCACCTTGAGTTCGGTACATCCTGCTGAGCCTCACTAAAGCTGGCAAGGCATTGTAGCAAAGCCCCAAAAATCAGTTCTTCAGACAGGGTAAAGTACAGAGAATGAGGTGACCCGTTGGAATCTCGTCTCACAAAATCCTATCTAGCTTTTTGTGCATGGGAAGCCTTGTCTCGGTCACGTATTGTAACTTACTACCGAATAGAGGGATGTCAGTGCCGGGGCACTAGTTGATGTTACGAACCAAGTCTACATATTTTTTTAAATTACTTAACGCCGTGCTGGCGCACAACACTACAGTGCCTCTGGGATATAAAACGTTAACCTCGAAACTGAGATATTTAAGGGATTAGCCCTGTAGGCGCAGCTGGGCTAGCTCGTAATAGGTTAGTATGTCTCTCCTCCTTACCCCGCTCGCCATGCAGTATGGAGCAATCGTCTTCTAACATTTGGTTAGAAAAACACATTTTCAACGACATTTTTGGATGACTAACCTACACAGTCCTTGAATCTTAACACCACTATCAATTCATCCTCTATTCTAGCAAATAATGTCTCTCGAAAAGTCTGCTTCAGAAACTAAAGTCTGCAGGCATCTAACCCGCAATCAATGTATTGAAATAAGACCATTAAGAAGACTTGGCTTGACATCACAAAATATATCCGACGAACTTGGCATCACTATAAGGCAAGTGCAACTTGCGTGTGCTCGAGAGACTGAGAATCCTATGTCTCGCAAAGGACCCTTACCAAAATTAAGCGCGGAACAAGTTGATGAGCTTGAGGCTTTCGTCCGAGAGTCTCCTGAAAACCGACAGATGTGCTATTTGGAACTAGCCATGGGGCCCTTCAGCCACTGGGGATGCAGTGAACGTTTAATTTCTAACGCACTGAAAAAAAGAGGTTACAGCAGATGCATTGCTCGGAAGAAGCCTCCGTCAAGCGCGGTGAACAAGCAGAAAAGATTGGAGTTCGCCCAATTACATTTAGATTGGAGCGATGAACACTGGAGTCGCATATTATTGACTGATGAAACCTTGGTATCGGGTGATTGTCATATGAAACCTCGTGTCACAAGAAAAGTACGTTTAAATTCTATCAAAATCTTCCTTGTACTAACAGTAGAGTTTAGCCTGATGAGGAGTTTGATGAGACTTGTATTGTGGCTCGCCATACTCATGGGAACAGTTGGATGTTTTGGGGATCATTTTACGGATCACTTAAAGGCCCATTCCTAGTCTGGGAGAAGGATTGGGGATCAATGAGGTCCTCATCCTTTTGTGAAAGGATTTTGCCACTTTTGAATCAATACACTCGGATAATCCAGAAATTCTACACATGCACGACAACGCACCATGTCATAAAGCATACTCAACAATTGAGGCGCTGCGTGAAGTTAGAATAACGCCTTTTAGATGGCCACCTTACTCTCCGGACCTGAACCCGATCGAGTCATTGTGGAACATCTTAAAAAACCACATTCAGGTAAATAGTCCTGAGAAAAATGGGGTCAGGCTTGTGCGCTCTGCCACGATGAAGACATTGCTACAGGATGCATAGGACTCTATACCTTCTGAGGAGCTATTGTCACTAGTTGGCAGCATGCACGAAAGATGTGTAGCAGTGATAAAGGCAAATAGAGGGTACACAAAGTATTAGGATGGAGAAGACAAATACAAAACATGTAGTACGCTTTCAGTTTAGTTGCGAGCCATACTGAGGGCTTCGATGTAGACTTTTGTAATACAGAGCAATAATTTTTGAAATAGATGTGCATTCTTAGAGAATATCAGTTGAATTTTTAATTTTGAACTTTAAATGAAGACCATCTTACTTTTCCCATTGAGTTGAAAACCATCCCCATAATTTAGACTTTCACGGAATGTCATTGGATAGCACCCCTTGCTTTCATAACTAGACGAGTAACTAGACATGGGCCTGCATGAAGACCATACCAATTAAGGTAAAATGTACAGGGATCTAACCCCAGTCATTTCGACAATTTTACTTTTGCCATCCATAAGAGACCGTAGACTACGTGGCCAAGTGCCGGTTGGCTTAGCTTGTAAAGACTACCCGACGTGCCAGCGCCCCAAAAGAGCCCAGCAATTTTCAAGTGGGGCTCAGCCACTGCTCGGCACCTTTGAATTTTATATGAATTTTGAAGTGTTGATTGCTTCTGTTAACTTTCAGTTGATACCCTTACAATCTTGAGTCCTTAATTTTAATCACTTCCAAAGCTTCAACGGCCTAACATCTCTCTTATCTTCACTCGCAGGTTTTGATTTCGTCATGGAAAGTTATACCTAGTAACCCAAGTTTAGAGTTCTCCGATAATTCCCGTCGACAACAGTTTTGGAAGAAAGGGCCGTGGGTCGTTTTGTGGCTTTTTTCTGCAATAAATAGGGACTTCAAAAACTTGTTGGTTTACCGAATGGAAATACGATAAGCAGAGGATACCATTGACAAGTGTTCGGCCTTCGTCCTCTAAGTCTACATATTTTGCTGTCTAGAAGTTGCCTCAAAATGTTTGTCTATCACGGGGGGGTTTTCTATCGGATTTTAATTGCGTATGCAGCTATCTAGCTATGACACAATATCAAAGAAAAGTACAGAAAAGATGACTCAATTTACAAGAAGAGCACTCATGCCTCGGATTTCAATTGCAAGTACCACAGCGAAGTTATGGCAGCTTTTTCTTCACTCCAAGTCAACCCTCATCCGTGAATACTCACCCAGGGGAACGTCTCAAAAACCCTGAGTTATCCAGACATGCCTCCATCATCTTTCAACTTCTCTCCGCGCGAAATATGATCTGAGATGTCTCCTTCCCAAGTGGAGTAGGTGTCTAGGCTACTCAAACCATACCAGAGAACACCACCAGGAGGCGGATCACAACACCTTCCATCGTCTGCTTGTTTTAATAGTGTGAGCTGCACTCTCGCAAGCGAAGCCTTGGCGCGCACAAAGCTCAATTTGTAAAATCTCCTTTCCAAATTTTCCAAATTCCACGCCCTTCGACTGTATCTATCCTTTGCATCATCTTGTGAACTTGTCCTGAATCTTCTCACGCCAATCCAAAAGAGCTGTCTCCCAGATTTGTGGGCCACGCTTTGCTTCCTCCGTCGGGTGTAAATATCGACGTGGGCGTATATCTGGCGACCAGCTGAGGCCAGAGAAAGTCGTTAGGAGGTGTGGTCATTTGAATGAGGATGTACTAGGTCGTACTTGTAAACCGATGAGGCTTGGATAGGAATCGATTTCGTTGGGAGTGAAAGATTGATATGGTGGAGTATTTTGAATCATTGCCTGGTGGGCCAACTTGTTCGATATTGCGAGATTTGACTGAACTTGGCACTGGGAGAATATTTCACTCCTAGGTTCGTAGAAGGCACCGCGTACAGGTGTTCAGTCTTGTCCTACTATCACTTATTTTGCATTTACCAGGGGAAATTGTGTTATCATCTCATTCTATTAGTTATTGAAAAACCAGCCCCCCACTTACTTACTCCAGGGAGTCCCCTCGATGGTCGATAGAAAACTTATACCCAGATAAACCTTGCTTCCCCGTAATGTCTAGTACTCGTCATCTGATAAAAATCGCTTGAGGATCTGGAGCTAATTATCTTAAATCACTCTGCATGTTCTATTTATTCGCATACTAAGGACAAAAGGATTAGATAAATTTGAATCACTTAATGTATGTTCAGCCGCGTAGTTACTACTTGTGGTCGTAGCCTTCAACTGAGCTACAAATGAAGCTCCCAACCTACGTACACTGTCCCTGCCTGGAAATCGGATATAGTAGACTAAACCTAGGAAAGTGTGTGGTCATGTCTACCAAGGCTAATTGAGTCTACGCAAAGCGCGACGACATAGTATTGCCAAGGGAAATTATGTACTTCATTTCGTTAACTCTGTCCTTTACCAAATATCCGAAGGTTTTTAGCTCAACCATTAACCTCACCTGCCATTATACGTCTCCTAGGCTCCAAAAACATTACACGTACGCTTTCGGACATTCTATCAATCTTGCAGAATAATATCGACCACCTAGACAACCTGTACCTAGCTTTCTGCCTCACCAAACGCCCTATTCCTGCGACAGCATGGTGTGTGTCGAGCGATTTTGTGCTTAAAATCCCAATTACAGCTTAGAGTATCGTCGCTAAATTTTACACTTGTATTTGCATCTCTACACTTGCCACACAGCGTACCAAGAATCCTTCTACCAGAATGTACCCCAAGCCCCATTACTCCCCCCATTTCATTGTACAGTCCCGACGGGCCCCCCTTTCTACTGGGCATCATTAGTAAACCCTACTCCTACTCCAGACCGCGGAGAAGAGAGCTCCAGCCAACATAAAATCACATATTAGGCCCTCTCACTCACATTATTCAGAATGCCCTTCATTCAAAATCATCTCCAAGACTAATTGAATTCCTGGTACTTCTGGATGTATCATTGAAAATTTCAGAGTCCGCTTTACATCAGGCGTCCGGACCATAACTGTGTTTTGCTCCACCCCGGCCCCTAGAGGGTTTACTGCATAGTCTAAACAACGAATGTCTCGTCCCGCAATCACTTGCCGTAGCCGGCCGTTCTCGGCATTTCGTACTTCGACAAAATCACTATCAAAGAGAACAAGATAGGTGCCGTACATGACAGCTGTTTTAGCTTTACCAACAAATTCCATTATTACACTCCGTGAAACATCACCGTGTTTGTTGACGTAAACACCGCATTCCTCATAACAAAGTAAAAATTCGGTGCTTGAAAGGCGAAACATTCCCAGTGGTTTCTGTCCAGCGAGTCTTGCAGTAATGTTGTTGATAGCAGGATCCTTAGTGTCAGGAATACTCATAGGGACCTTTTTATCCAACGTCATGAGCTCAAACCCTTTCAGAGTTGAGATGGCGATATAAGAGTGAAAAATGTTGATTGTGAAGCATTCAGTAGGGATATAAAATTCATCAAATGCCCTGAAAAACTCAGTGGTACCGCCTTTTAGCTTCCCAAGAAGCCGCGCTCTCTTTTCAGAAGACTTTTGAAAGACTGGCTCAAGGACTTTGAAGGTTGAATGGAGACCTTCACGTTTTTTGTAGAATAGTAATGTCCGATCTTTCATGCGTGAAGTAGCAAAGAATGAAACATCACGACTGCCAGAAAGCTTTTGCGGAGCGCGGCGTACTGATTCCTGAGCTGGTGCGGGGAAACCTGAAGCAGGCACTACTACCTCAAGTGGATATGCGATGAGTGCTTTCTCTGCGATAATCAGACATAGAGAAAATTCTTCTAAAACACTAATTTGGGTGACCCGAGAAATTTGAATTGACTGCTAGTTGTTAGTATATAAGGTCTCAAAACACGACATCACTTACCCTTGTCCAGCCTCGAGGGTTTGATTCTTCCGAGATGTAAACGCCATAATCTGTCCCAATAGCTACCATAGCTTTACCATGACCGGTAAATACTGTAGCACAGTTGATCTGAGCTCGACAAACTGGTCCCGGTCGAGGGCCAGCTCCATATATATTTTCCAGTTCTCTGATTGCTCTATCCAAGGGTGTATCGCACACGGAGACACTAGATTTCTGTGGAATAATGGACAAGTTGTCTAGTGCAAAAGCACTATCAGCAATTACCCGTAGTCTAAATGGTTCCGCATTCTGTTCGTGAAGAGATATAGTATGTTGAGTTTTGGCGTCGAGTATTCTATCACACCACTCCATTCTATTTTGGGCACTGGGTGCATACAACGTATAAACTTCGGGTTTTCCCAAATGCTTCACTCGGAACGGATACATTTGTCTTGCATCGCTATCACCAAGGCTCGGTTGAGCTCGATGTGCAGACGAGTTTGACTGATTTGAAAGGGTATGTTCTAAAGTAGTCGTTCGTTCGACGCCTTCCAAATTCGAACGACCGAGCCCCGAGTTTAGCGTAGTAGAAGAAGTAGGTTTCCCCATGGTCGTCACACTTGCGATTCCCTTCACAGATGACTTGACGACGGGATCGTCATTCGTACTTTCTAGAACGAGAAGTTGCATCGGGATTGGCTATGTTGATTTTAATGTACATCCCGAAAGGATTGTGAAAAACTCACATGTTTGGAGACATCATATGCCACTTTTCGGCCATCGAAATTGAAATCGCCTTTGGAAATCGTCTTCGCTAGGATTAGATAGTTATCTAAAAGTATTGCATGTGTTTCTAGCCAATTAAAGCGGTTAGTGCCAGCTCTTTGAAGATCACCTTCGAAGATAAGTTTGCGTCCAATGTGGTCTAAATTAAGCTCAACACCATCCATGCCTGGTCTAAGATTAAGTTTAGATCGAAGCTCAAGCATCTCTACCTTTTTAGATTGCTCGTCAACTTTCGCATCGCACTCAAGGGTAACTGCTTTTATTTCTTCAATTGCAATAGCTAGATTTGTTTTTTCTTCAGAATCTTGTGTCATATTATGAAGGACAGTACCGAGAAGTAGACTATACCTTTGAAGCCGGGTGATAGGTGCTTTAAGGTAAGTGTTCCAATCCAAACGCCCTGAAAGCTTATTGTCCCGTGCCTGGTCTAGGAACTGCCGAAATAGTAGGTTCCTCCCAGCTTCTTTACGCACAAGATGAGTTGCTTGCGGAAATCCTGCAGCATATTCAATGTAGACAGCCTTTGCTTTCCGAATCCATTCCCTGAAAATATCGCTGAAACCAACGATCCAAGGCCCTTGTTCCTTTTGCCGGTACTTAAGCTGTGCTAATAAATAGCTTTCATTGACAGCTTTGATAGCTTGAACTTTACCGAAAACAGCACCTATAAATTTGGGCAATTTTTCTTTCACAATTATAGGCGGTTGCCATGAAGATAGCTCATCCCGGTATAGGATTCGGAGAATATTGATTTGATCCATATAAAGGTCTTCAGACATTACAATTTCGTGTAAATTATTTTGTCGTTGTATTTCTTTTTTACTAGCTCCTTCCAGCTGTTCTTTTGTTAGTTTAAAGAATGTTATCCAATCCTCCGTCTTTCGAGATGGCTCCAAGGTATGAGCTTGAAGATTGATTTTTTTTAAAGTCCGGGCACAGTGATGTGAATAACATCGTCCGTGTATCTCATACTCATGTAATTTCGGCGAGTAACAACCTGAACCTGTCAATTGCCACAAAATACCCGATATTTCCCCTTGTCCAAATTTGACCCATTCTTCTTCTCGTACAAGAATACCAGTTTCAAGAAGTGAGTCAGCCACTTTTTGACTGAGAGTCTCTGCGTCTGCTGTGTTCATCGTAGGCATTTTGTGAGTAAAAAGAGCGACGAGTCCATCCTCGATTGCTCTAATGCGAAGATCGGCTTCTCCATCTATAGACCCACCGCCAGCTACATCTATTATCCATGTTGCAATGCTGCTTAATGCCCAAGGTTCTTTACACTTGTTAAAGTCTGCACTACATAATCGGGTCGGGCAAAATTTTTTCTGACGGTTCGCAGGTAGTGAAGGAAGATCAAGTGCATGCAGGGACTGAGGGCTTCCAATATCGTACCCATCGAGTTCACCAACTGAGCGCATACTCATCCGGGCTATTTTTTGTCGGGCCTGTCTTTCCTCTGCATCTGTCTTGGAGCGCGCAGGGGGTAGGGTATATGGGGCACTTCCATGGTTAGAAAGCGAGGAGGACCTTGAGAAATATTGGCCGCCCCGAAAGGACGGTATGCTTAGTGCGTCATTTGGCTCCTTCCGCACGGGGGTAGCAGATCCTAGATTTGACGCAAACAAACTGATATCGTGGCTTGGATCGTGATATATTCCAGCAAGTAGGTTGCTTCTATCCTCTTTAGTTCCGGGAACTGGGGGTAAGGGACGATCGAGCCCCCGTTGCTTCTCAGATGAAGATAATGCTATATTTGGATAATAAAAGTACTCAGTAGTATCATCTCGAGAAAGATTTTCACCTTTAAACGCAGCGTTTGGCTGAGGATATAGAGGCATTTGCTCATCACCTTCGTTGAAACTCATCCTGTGTGGCTTAGTGGTCGGCATTTGTAACCCGTTTTCCCCGTAAATGTCAACCCCGGAGTCATCAAAAGCTGGGAAGGGAGACATTGTGTTGTTTGAAGGCTCAGAAACACTTCCGCGGCAAGAAGGTGATACACTGATGTGATTTAAAGAGCCTGTTGATGCTTGTTGTATTGGTAGCTGCAAGTTTGGGATTCCCTTGGTGCAATCAAGACTAAAAGTATGTCTAGTTAGATCTTTCCCGCCGTATGACAGGTGTGCATCATAGCCACCACCTGCTGAACCTAAATCTACCACTTCATTATTTTCTTCGCTGCTATCGTCTAGCAAAAATTGCTGAGGAGATCGGGACCGCTCATACTGGCCGAAACTTAGTCCCCCAATGCCGCAGAGCAGATCTTGCTCCTCAGCCAGTCTCATGCCTTCAAGTCCAGCTTCCGCTTCAACATCGCTAGCATTATCATCTCTATCGTCTAACACATCAGATTGAGTTTGACATATATTTTGCGCAAATTTTTCTTCATCGTTTATTGTAGACAAGTCAAATTGCTGAAGGGCATTTATTTCTGCGTCAAAGGGCTCCTCACTATGCATAGGTGGTCGAATTCTTTGCCTTGATCCAAAAGCCCCCAGCGCATCTCCAATATCTTCATATAGCTGCTTTTGTGTCACATTTTCCTCCAAACTACCTTTCATACCCCAGTAATATGTGTCATCAACCTCATCAACTGGCGCGTTTGGCAAGGGCCTAGAGGTTGGGTGTCTCTGCAATTCTATCTCACTCGCGTATGGAGGTGCTGAATTATCTGGTATGCAACCAGTAGAAGGGCAAGAATCATTCTTGTATGGACTTTGACATAAATTGGCGTGTGACTTGGAGTAGCTATCTTGCGCATATGAGGGAAGCCAATTGTTTTCTGGGGACCGACAATTAGTTTGCTCATACTGGTTATCATCTAGGCCATAGGGTATGATGAAAGATGGGGTATTTCGACTGTCCTGTCGTCGAGGAGAAATTGGCGTAGATACTGTAGGCGTTGGGTTAAATTCTAAATGTTCATTCTGTGACGTCTTCAGAGGTACTGGATGACTTGTGTAACATGAAATATTCTGCTGCCAGTGATCAGAAGGCACCATTGAGTCTAAAGTAGCGGGATTATTATATTTTTCAGGATATAAATTGTTGATAGGTTCATTTTTTTGTAGCATGTAGTCTCTGGAGGGGTTGGTTATTTGGTATACTGAGGAATTGAAATCTTGATCACTCGTGATATTGGGATTCAAGGATGATGGAATCATATTTTGGCCTGGTTCATTTTCACTGTAGCAGTGTTGAATAGACGGCATTTTTATGTGCGATGGTAACTGATCGTCATTTGAGAAAGGTAGGTACTGTTGCAGCTGCGGCTGCTGGTAATGAGGTGACGCTTGAGGAATGTGACCAGTCTGTCCTAGATCGAGTGAGCCATGGCACGAAGCTATATACGAACTTTCCATAAACTGATCATGAGAATTTAGAGATCTACCAGTGACCAGATTTGATCCAGTCTCATATCTCCTATCTGTATAGCCTTGTAAGCCCAAATCATCATTGTTGTCAAAACTCTGTTTTCTTTGCAAGCCAGTTTGCGTGTAGTGCAATTCTGGCCCGGTTGTTTGTTCGTACTGCACAGGCGGAACATGTCCGTATCGTCGTAAGCTTTTGGAGTTGAGGGACATTTTGACCAGCTATTACCCGACGCAGGAAAGATTCTGCTTATCTGAGGAATAAGTTGATATTCGGGTTCAGGTTCGATAGACTGACAATTACGCTTTACTAAATCGTCGAATTGCTTCGACCACAGGACCTAGCTTTAAGAATATCGGGCTGAATCTGTCGCATTGGGTAGTGTCAAGCGCAAGTTAAGCCTGAGAAAGCTCTCACCCCATACTAAGCGGTTTATTGTAAACAATATTTTTGTAAGATAGTTCTTGTTGAAGATGTTGGTACCCGCGTAGAGTTTTCTTTACTGCGTGGCTTGTTTGACTCGATGAACCCTTGTAAGGCTCTGGAGTTTGAAGAGGAAGTGTGCGGGGGGGGGTATTTCAGCGTAAGGACGACACGCGGAAGATTTTCCTAAGCTCGTTCGGATCCGATGGAAGCTCACACCTTACCTCATTCAAACCGCTAAAACCCCCTGCTACAATCAACTACGGTAGGGTAATCGATATATACATATATGTTTTCGCGTCCAAGGCTTGCGCTAAGTTCAGTACCATCAAGCTGTTGCGCTTTTTCTACTCATCCTCTACAATCCCTTTCCCGTATAGCACGGCCGGCCCTATAGCTACATGTGGCGGGGTGGGATCGGACATGATTTAGAAGTGAGGCAATGGGAGTAGCTATGCACTGGTTTCAAGGGGCTGATATCATACATTCTACTAAACTCACAAGCTGTAGCACCGACTGATAGTTGCCTAGGCTCACCTGGCTGCGATGATTGCATGCGTATTTTCTCTTCAAACTTCAGAGTCTATTAAGCAGTGACGATGACAACACGCTGCAAAGTTCTAGAAGTAGTTAATTGATAAATTTTCAAAGCTACACTCAGGAATTTCTTCTTCACTCCATGTTTGCTGTTTGAATTACGCCTCCTCCCTGATGGAGATCTGTATACCGAATTATCTTTACCCGGAAGATCTTCTAATGCTTGAAGCCATTAAGAATTTGCTGAGATTTTATACGTCTGTTATGGAACATGGTATCACTAACCGGAGAAAATAACAAAAGGCTATGGGTGATAGCCAAACAACTTCAAAATACCATTTTTCTACAACTAGTGAAGTTGTATGGATGATCAGTTCGTATCTGGTTTGACCAATGGCAAGTTCCACGTAGATTAGAGCTCCCTTAAAACTATCAACTTATCTTTGAGGATGGCAAAATATAAGTTTCGGTCGCAATGGTTTAGCGTATTTAACGAATCAAGAGTTCATATGGAGCTTGTAAACATACGTAATCCTTTCTGTCAGACTCCGGCTCTGTGCAGTCTCACAGCAGCAGATATGAAACCGGATAAACTATGCCCCGGCATGACCCGATATAATCTGCGGCAGAGAAACGCATAACATATGACTGACTAGTATGAAGACTTGCGTATCGGGAGTGGTTACAGAGGATTTTTTGATGCTGAACTTTCACAGCTTTCACTCATACAAGAAGTGTGAATTCCCCTTAATCTGAAAAAGAATACTTTGATCCTGTTGGACCCTAGATCCCGTTTGCTACCACGATCAAAATAGCTTCCGGGGATTAAATATCGAACAGGGATACAAGCCGAACCAATTTCTTCACATATGTTCGGTTCAGATTACGTGGATTTTATTGCGCCTTGATTTCCATCTAGCATGGCATCATGCACGGCCATCCTTGTCATCGAACGAATCACACTAAGCATGATGTACATTTCGACTTAAGCTTTACTTCGTAGAATCTAATCAATGGTTTAAATATCCAGAAATGGGCGTGAATCAAGTTCTGTACAATTTGATTCCAAGGGAAATTCAAAAAATATTTCATTCAAACACAACTATCACATACCCTATAGCAGGAGATATTGTGAGAATAGTTAATAATTAAATTCATTGTCTTTGGTGAAATCTATGATCCTAGTTGGATAAACATCGGAGTATGGGTTTTGCATAACTTGTGTGTGCATGCCGAACAGCCAGCCCCGTATACCTTGTCTGTTCATATCATTATTTTAATTTAGATATCAACTCTGGAAGAACACCTTAGGGAGGTGGGTTAAACAGCGCAGCCAAGAGCTCGTGGAGGAGTGGTGGCAGGAGTATCGGCCGAAGCGATACAAAGATCTGGACCTATTCATGCGCTGCAAAAGACCACCGGAACTAGCTTCACCAAGATGGGCGTATCATCGTCTAATTGCAGCAAGAACTGGCCACGGGGACTACGCCGACTACCATCGACGTTTCAAACCCGAACATGAAGATCTGAAATGCGTTTGCGGCCGAGAGAAAAGGTCCTGGCATTTTTCAGAGTGCCGACCTGCTTTGCAACGTTGGAGAAGCTGTGAGAAAAAGGCCTCGCCTGGGGCCAGGGAAATGATTCGGGAGAAGGGATGGCAGAAGTTCATCCAATTCTTAACCACTAGCAAGCCGGCAAAGATGAATTCTTCACCTTCCATTGGTGCCAGCAAAATCGCTCATTATGCACTGCGTGTCTGGGATAGCCAAGAAGGATCGCGACTGAATCGAAGTTCGAAGTATCATGATCGGTATATGATTTAGGAATACACACTTGCGATGGGACATCTCATACAGTTCATGGAGAGATATCTTAATTGATATGCAAAAGTGAGGTGACAATGGTAAATTTTGACTCTGTCGAATGGGCGAATCTCGTATCTTATCCCCTAGCTTGTTCGCTTGTAGACAGATTACCTAAACAGTATGCCGCGCTCCAACCGGGCAATTTGGCACTTATCTTATATTAACAACACATCTCTCAGCCGGCAAAGACGAATTCTTCACCTTCCAGTGGTGCAGGTTTAATCGCCCAGTATGCTCTGCATATCTGGGATAGCCAAGAAGAATCGCATCCGAATCGAAGTCGAAAGCAAACACATGCATATTTCCATTTGACGACTTCTCAACCATGCAGCACTCATCATTATCTTCTGAGTCCTCAACCCCGATCTAAACACATATAATCTCGCCTCGCCGACCGATAAAGGCGTCACCCCATCTGCAAACAGGAGCTTGCCTCATTCATTACCGGCCATCACTCACTACAAATTTATAACGCTACGTATACCCGCAAGGAGGAAATCAAGTCGAAAAATACAAAGTTGGGGTCTTGGTTTATGGGGGACTGCTGCTCTAATAGGTTTATACATCTTGAAGAGGGACAGGCGGCTGAGATATCGAGCGAGAGGGGAACAGGTCTCTGAAGAGTATGCTATGACTGATATTTTCGAGGAGTTTTCAACTTTGGGTTTTGTGTGGGCGCCAAGACCAAGATTTCGGCTAATTAGCCAGGAGGGCTTCTTTTGTCGATGAGTCAACGGCACTCCCCAGCGCCCTGGACGGTACAAAAGAAGTCGGGCTAAGCTACAATACAGCAATCACGCTCTGTCAAGACTTTTCTGACATTTCAGCACGACCTTCGGGAAGGAGTTGGAAGGAGGCTAGAAAGGCAGAGGGTAGATTCTCCGAGGTACACACAAGTCTACAGCGCCCAGCTGTCCGGCCTATTCATGCGCATCAGAAGGATCACTATGTCTTCGGATCTAGTCCTAATGTCGGTATTAGAAGAGCCCCGCACCCAGTGGTTTTTGAGATTTTTACCGGCTGCCGTACACCCGCAAATGGCCATTGTTTTGTTGGCTGGAGAGGGGAGATAATGATGGGATAACGGCTCCTCTTAGTTTGTACTCAAATGAAGAACTGTGGGGGTATTACTGCTGGAAAGAAGTCGTGAAGGAGGCAAAGGAGGGAGAACACTACCCGAGGCATAGATACTCCCGGCCTGTAGGCAGAAAGGACCTACATGTCTTTACATAGTTATAGAATTTTTAGGACAATAAACACTCACTCACTCAAATACTCGCTGCAAGACATCTTCGTATAAAACAACGGTTAACTCTTACTCTTACTAAATTGTCATTAATATAACAAATACAACATCTGTATCCTTCTCCTTTACATTAGAATCAGTGCTATCCTACATTTATTCACTTTGACAGCTACATCCAAAGCGATATTTATTAGACTTTTCATAACCTCGCTATTGAAACAGGACTTACATCGTAGAAAGTCCCGAACGGACTATAGCGGTTGAAACTACGCGTCGAAGAAACTGTTGGAATAAAATAACAATTGTTATACTAATAAAGACTTAACAAGATTACAATACACATATTGTTTTAAAGGTAAGAACTTAAAGGGTTAATTGGCAGAAGGTTTACGGATGATTATCGATGAATCAATACGAACTGCTGATATATTTGATATTCAGAACTATGAGGATTTAGGGGGTAGAAAGCGCTAATTATATTGTAAGGATTCCTCTTCCGATCCTTTCTTTAGGATATAACTTTACCTTTCTTCATATGTTGCTATGACAACAGGACAGTTCTTGGCACATGGTATCATGTTGATATTATGTTAAGGTCTATGTTATGATGAGCTAGTGAAAGGTAGGCAGGTATATATACAATGGTTTGGTCTGTAGGCATAGAGTTCTTTACGCTTAGTCTTCTGTCATAACCACCACCTTCGGATCACCTCTAGTCACCTCTAGTTACCTCTAGTACCTTTAGTTATCAATAGTACCCTCTCGAACCTTTAGACCTTTTAAATACTTAGATTAACCATCTTTCAACCCTCAATTTCCTCCATATTATCTCTAGTATACCTTCAGTCATCTTTCGCCGTCCATTTAACATCTTCTAGCCCTTCGAATTCGCTCCAGCTCAAACGTCTAGACTCCAATCTGACATATATACATATCTGAGGTAGCTAGACTCTCGCCTTATTTACCCAAAATAGTACCACGGAATATTCTAGTCTCCTCCATCTGGTAGTACAATCTAGAAACACTTTCTATACAGTGCTCCATTGTTCCTCTAATCATCATGGAGCCACCTGGAAAGTTTTTCCTTCACCCTCAGTGATCATTACCCTTGTGCATCGTAATCCTAGGCATCACCAGCAGA